CTGACAGCGTGGCCAGTAGGCAGGGGGGATCTGCATCCTGATCTGGATGAACAGCTCATCGCGTGTGGATGTGCGGCAGGACTCATGCAGCGCCATCAACGCAGAAACATATATCATAGAGCGGGGCGGTCAATGCCGTCCACCACGGCTGCAACATGACAGGCTCAAACAACGAGATACTGACACTGACTCCGACTGAGGCCACCAGAAAAGCGGCGCAAACATGAAGAGACCACTAAACAGTGTTAGGAGGCGTATCGGAGATCTATGACCTCTACGAACACACTGCGAGAAGCTGCACCGAAGCAGCACCTGATTCCCAGAGAGGGAGCAATACAGCTCACAGAGAGATACCGTGGCAGGGCCACCGTTTTAAATGCTCACAGCGAGAGGCGAGGACAACGAACGACTAGGTCGCTGCCCAAGAGGCGCGCTAGCGGGGCAGATCGCGCCGCAGCTCACGAACTGATGAGGGGTAGTCCGCGTAGGCGACTGGCAATTCCATGAAGATGCCCAGCACCGCATGTCACTTCGCTGAGTATCTGAGCTTGGACGCCGTCGCCTGCGCAAGGGGCGCGCTGCCGTAGTGGAAGGGGTGGTCCTCGTAGGTGCCCCGCAGCCCCTGGCACTTCGTAGCGCTCCGCCGAGTAGTTGAGCTGGTGCGCGGCTGTTTGTGCTAGGGACGCGCTGCAGTAGCGGTGGGGGTAGTCCTGCGCAAGGGCCGCGCTGCAGTAGCGGAAGGGGTAGTCCTCGTAGCTGAAAAGCAACCTTGTGGATATGCTCTGCCCCTCGTAGCACTCCGCCCCATGGCTGAGCTTGGAAACCGTCGCCTGCGCCAGGGACGCGCTGCCGTAACGGAGGGGGTCGTCGACGACGGCGAATGTCAGCCCTGTGAAGGTGCCCAGCACATTTGAGCATAGCGCTGAGGTGGAACAGTAGTGGTGGACGACGAAACAATCCGTGACCTCGTATGCAAAAAGCAACCCCGTGGCTCAGCTCGGACGCCGCCGCCTGCGCCAGGTACACGCTGTATTAGTGGAGGGGGTAGTCCTCGTAGGTGATCACAGCCCCGTGGATCTGCTCTGGCCCTTATACACTCCGCTGTATGGCTGAGCTTGGACGCCGCCGCCTGCGCCAAGGACTCGCTGCAGTAGCGGAAGGGGTAGTCTTCGTAGGCGAACGGCAGCACAGTGGAGATGTTCAGCACCTAGTAGCATTCCGCTATGTGGCTGAGCTTGCCGTATCAGAAGGGGTAGTCCTCGGAGGTGGGCGGCAGCGCCGTATTGATGTTCTGCCCCTCGTAGCACTCCGCCGCATGGCTGAGCTTGGACGCCGCCGCCTGCGCCAGAAACGCGCTGCAGTTGCGGAAGGGGCAGTCGACGAAGGCGAACGTCAGCCTGGTGAAGATGCCTTGCACCTCGTATCACCTCCGCCCTATGGCTGAGCTTTGACGCCGTCGCCCGCACCAGCGCCGCACTGCCGTAGCGGCAGTGGTGGTCATCGAAGGCGGTCGGCAGCCCCGTGAAGTTGCCAGGCATCTTGGAGCGGTCCAGCGAGGTGGATTCACGTGCATGGGGACGTGCCTGAACGTAACTGGCTACACGGTCGAGCATGTGAGTGGGCGCCACGCCGGGTTGCGCGGCGCGCGTGGGGTCAAGCCGAGGAGTCAGAGTGCGCCGAAAGCGAGCAAGATGGCTGCTACTACGGCTCGGGCCTGGCAGGGAGGGAGGGAGGAGAGGGAGGGAGGGAAGACGAGGAGGGAGGGATGGAAACAGGGAGGGAGGGAGGGATGGAGGCCGAGGCTTCGCCTCTTTTGTGGGAGGGACCCGGCGCAGGACGCTGCTGCCTGCCCGGGCGAGAAGCCCGCGGGGAGGGCCTGGGACGCGGTGGCCATGCGTTGCGTCCCGTCCAGCTGGTGGCGCGCGCTCGTATGCTCGCGGGTCTGCGTGTGCGAGCCCTACTCCTGCTGGTTTAACCGATTCTTTCGGTAGCAACTCATGGGAGCCTCGTATTACCTCGCAAGTCCGTCATCAGTGTGCGTTCGCGTGCGCCAGCGTTTGGCAATCGATGTGACAGCGCCGACTTAGTGTCGATGGGCGCCGAAATTACATCGGTTAGTGTCTATTCGATTCGATCAGAGTGGGTCAGCGCCGGTTCGCAGGAGCCAGCAAAATGGCACTGGAGGTTGCCATGAGTTGCCACAGGATACGCTGGGGTATCGGCCACCCCCGTGGGGCTCACCTGTTTGCAGACCTCCGTCGAATTCTGATCGTCGGCCGGCGTTTCGGAAATCTGGCCTGCAGGCGTGGGTTTGCACGTGTGGTTGCCCAGCGGGAGCAGGCGGCACCTCCCACGATCTGATCCATAGGAGCGACGGAAGAGAACGGGATCGTCTTCGTCGACGTTGGCGCGCAAGCTGCCCGCGCAAAGTCGCGCGGAAGCGCCCTCGTCTTCGAGTGTGGCGTGCCGCACTGGCGCCCGCGTAGGCCACCCCGTAAGGTCGCTACGTCATCTCGCGTAGAACCCGTGTTTGATCGGCGCTCATATGGCCCTGTGCTTTTCCTTCCCTTTCGACCTT